AATGGTACCTCAGATTTGAGAATAATTCTAATCGGTATGCAACACTTTATACACTTAAGTATGCAACACTTTATACACTTAAGTATGCAACACTTTATACACTTTAGAGGCCATGGTCGATAAAGTACTTTATGAAGTATATACAAAAGTTCTACTTTTCGACTGTTTTTTGTCCGAAAAACGAAGTTTTTTGACACATTCGAATAAAAAAAAATATTTATAAAGTAGACCAAGATCGACAAAGACAGAGATGCAGTCACATCCGTGAAAACTACGCACGGCTCCGAATTAAACTAAACTGACACTTAAAGGAAGAAGACTTATACGCTTCTACATGTGTGAGTTTTTCCAGGTCCAACTTTAGAAACATTTTTTTGTGAATCACTCTACTTTGGTATTCTAGTGTTTAGTACATTGATTATTATTGGTAAAGGCATTGAGGCGTAATCTCGGAGATCCAGGTTCGATCCCTAGCAGAAGCAAGCATTTTTCTCTTTTTTTCTTCTTTTTTTTTGAGCTATTTCAATTTTTCTTTGGTTTATTACCACGTTGGGGTCGTGGGAATGAATTCTTTAATTTCATTGAGGGAATTAGGGATTTCATTTTTACATTTCCAAATGCATAGATTATTATTCCTAACCGACTTCAAAAAAAGGAGGAGTCTGACTATTTTTTTTTTCATGTATGTGCAGCGATAATTCTTTACCACCTTGTCCGATTTCTATGATTCTTTTTTTGTTAGAAAAAGGGTACATCAGGGGTTGTTCCATATAAATTTGATCAAGATCTGGTAATGGGATTTATGAGAAAATTAGCGAACTCAATTTGTAATAGTATCTGCACGATTTTGGAATTACTTTTATAACTTGTATTGAAAAAATTTAGTAAACATAATTCTGTGGTTACCTCCACGGCACTTAGACCTCACTAGGCCATTGTGCATCCTCCTAAGATGATAGGCACCTCCTAACTCTTGAGCCAGCCTACAGATTTAATGTAGTTGACAACGTCGCCAAGAGGTGCTTCTCTTATATCGGCCGGTGTTAGCCGATACTCGCCGAACACAAATCTCCTAATAAATGAAAGCGTCGAGCAATCGTAGAGGATATGCTCGTGTGGCGTGACCTTTTATCCATCTTAAGGTGACCACGTTGTTCATGGATACTTCGGCCAAAACTTAGTGACATTCTAGTACTAACCCTGAATAAATTCGTGGTCTATTCAGGGTGAGCGGTGCTTGTCTGCTATCTGTAGAGATGAGCACGTCTCGCCTCACCTGATAAACATAATGATTTTAATAATTTATTTAACGTCAACCCATTTTTAACTACATCAACGTTGGTGAGTACAATATTTCCCAACAATAAATTTTAATGGACCCTCTGATGTTTATACCAGAACAGTGTCGGATTGGGACCTCCAGAGCCTACCGGTTCAGAAGGAAGAAGGGCCCACCTGTCAATTTTTTTCATTGTCCGATTAATTGAAAAGCAAAAAAGGTTATCTTTGCACAAAGACGCTTTTTCCGAAGTTGCCACATATTACGGGCTTTCTTCTCAAGGATCCACTGGCTGAACGAGGGCCCACTAACAGGACGAGGGCCCACTGGCTGAACGAGGGCCCACTGGCTGAACGAGGGCCCACTGCTTGAACGAGGGCTTACCGGTCTATGGACCAGTAGGTAGGCGACGCGACGACTCAATCCGACACTGAACCAGAACCCAACGTATCTTCCGAATTTGATTCCGGAAAGTTTTGGTATACACTGTAATACATAAACCTACATAAATATAAAAAGTACTTATTTATATTCTTCAGATTATTTTCATAGCATGGACAATTAATTATAAAAAAGGAAAACGTTCCGGTAAGTTTATTCTCACGACAATATTAAAAAGTTTATTTACTTACTTGAATATTGACAGGTGGATTGTTCCAGTTTCTTCGTCGGCAATTATGGAAAACATTAATTACCGTATAAACAGTGCCAATAATAGTTATTATTACGTTTCTTTATAACATGCCATCGAGTTTATTTCACTTTTATATAAAACATTTATAAATGGTGTAAAGAAATCAAAGGATATAAAACTGATTAAGTAATTTCTTTTCTACTGAAAGGGAAATTGTGAATAAATTAATTTGTTTATCGTTTATTTTTATACCGAGATGATGGAAAGTGATAAAGAATTTAACGTTTTTTTGCTTTCCTGCTAGTTACTGTATTTACACTTAAATATGTGGGTAAAAGTTTGTTTTCCAATGTTCAATATTTTCAGATATGTTCGCAGATTGTTCCTGTTGCATAATACCGGATGACTGTAAATGATTGTCATTTGATGGCCATTGGCAAATAATTTTTCCGAATTTGAGCCTAATTACTGGAGTAAATGAAATATAAAACTTGATTTTATTATTTTTTATCTTTTATTTTGCTACAAATATTTTAAAACATGGAGATGGCCTACGTCCACTTTAAAGTCGATTATCAAAACTTAAAAAGTCCTTTATTAACAAGTATTTTAAAAATAATTTTGGAGCATTTAAAAACCAGTTTAAATGTGTGCATGTATTTCAAAAACGTCATGTGTAACAGTGTGTTTTTACCTTCCATTTTAATATATTTTTTTCCTGGGCTCGTTTGATTTAGTCGCCGATAACATTGAAGCCTAACGGCTTATTGTATTTGACCCATATTAATAGTACCGACTTTGACATATTAAGTGCCTTGTACAAGTCCTTGACAGGTGTGTTCTATAGGTTCTTGGATCAACCTGTGGTTGTCCAAAAAGTGCATATTAATTTTCCGGTTCTTTTTGTACATGGTCTTCCTTTAAAGGTGTTTCCATGTGCTTGTTTTGGGACATTCTCTCAATAGTTGTGTTTTCTCCGAACCCAATCTTTAATAAAACCTCCAACCCTACTTTTTGGTGTCCAAAGTTTATATCTGGTTCTGGTATTTCTTCTAACCCTCTTTTTCATCAGCAGTTTCGTTGCCCTTCATGGCCTGGTACCCAAACTAGTCTATTTCGGACGGCTAATGTTCTCAATTCTTCGATGCAATCCCATACCAGCTTCGACGTCGTCATTTTCTGATTTGAGATGGCCTTAAGGGCCGACCGGCTGTCTGACATTATTTGGACTGCTTATTTTCATTAGCTCCCCTATTCGTTTGTTCTTAAACCTTATTATAACTGAAGCATGTCTTCCTATTGTATATCTAAGGTTGGTGATTTTTTTTTGGAGAATATTCCAGTCCCAGTGCATTCCGCAATCTTTGACCCGTCTGTGTAGCAGGTTTGCTCTCTTCGTTAGGCCCTGTGGGCATTTTCTCGCAAACCGGCCTGCTATTGTCTCTTACAACGGTTGCATGTATCAATCTTCCTCTTAGCATAGAGTTAATCCAGGTCACACATGTGTCCTCGATTCCTCTATGATAGTTCTGACAATAGAGTCGACGGAAGTATTGTCAAATTCTTTCTCGATATCTAAGAATGCTCATAACATTGTCTTCTTGTTTTCCAGTGCACTTTCCGTCCTTTTTACTAATTGATGGAGAGCTGATTTGTTGATTTTTCTGCACTATAGGCGTATTGGTCTTTAAACCAATATCCCGTCTCTAATATATCTACCTAGTAGTTTCTCTAAAGTCTTAAGTACGAAAAACAATACACTTATTGGTTTTAATGACTGTCGCTCCTTGTAGATTTTTCCAGGGTTTGGTATTAAAGCGATCCTAATATTTCGCCTTGCTCTTGGTATGTATTCAAAAGCCAGGCTACTTCTGAGTAAGCTGCATACTTCTGTATAAATATCAGGTCCTCTTTCTAACATTATTGGGTAAATCCCGACAATGGCCCTTTATAAATAGGTAATTTGGTTAAACTATTAACCAGTTTTATTGTGTACATGTATTTTAAAAACATCCTACGTAACAGTATTTTTTAACCTTTCATGGACACTCCAATTTGTATATTAGTTGTGTAGTGCTCTAATTGCGGTTATAACTGTAAGTGGGAGTGATGGTCTACCTTCCAGAAGCATTTTATAATATGTAAGTTGTTCTGGGATTATTTTTATTGAGCCTTTTATTTTTTCGCGACTCCAAAGATGTTAATGGTTTGGAATATTTTTCCGGGTTATTGTATCAAAAATCGCATTGCAATTTATAAATAGAAGACATAGAGGTAAAATGTCGCCACGCCATTCATTTACATTTTTTTTTTTAATCTTAATCTTAATTTTCGTCTATTATCGTCTCATATTCTGCGAAGACTTTATGGGTAACATCTTGTAGGCCTAAACCTTTGTAGTTTCTTTCACTACATTTTGTTTTTTTTAGTTTTAATAAGCATTTTCATTTGTTCTTTATTAGAATAAGTAGGTTGCCTGTGCTTTCATTTTCTTCTTTCAATTTTCATCTGCTTCTGTTCTTTCATTAGAACTTTTTCTTCGAAGAATTCCCTCCACCTGTTTAAATTACCACCAAATCCTACCTGAGCCCTTAGCTGATTATTGTCTTCGATACTTGTACATAATTTGACTTTAATCCTTTCTATTGGACCTCTTACACTCTTGCTTTAAATTTAAATTCTGGTACTATTCTACATTTTTTTGTCGAAACTATTTTTCTCATTTTCAATTTTTCTTTTGGCAATTATTAATTAATTCATTTGGTTTGTTTTTATAATTATTGCCATCTGTCCAGGATCTGAGATATTATCAATGGTAAAGAGAAAAATTTGCAGTTTTTAGTTGGTCTCAACTTTAACAGTTTCTTCACATTTATACTGCTAAAATACAGTACACTTTCTTAAATTCAAAACTTTATTTTATGCGAAATTTTAGGGGAAACTCTTGAATCCTAAATTTTTTCTTATTAAGTATAAACTAATAAGTACATTTTCCTGCGTTTCTTAAATATTAATACTTGTTTCCATTTGTATGTAAAAGAACTGTTTTTAGAAGCATTTTGTTGAATTTATTTTTATTTGTTTCAGATCTCCAATTGGCAGCAGAATTGGGAAAAACTTTGCTTGAACGAAATAAAGAATTGGAAACGACTTTAAAACAACATCAAAATGTTATCGACGATCAAGCTCAAGAAATTGAGGTAAGTGTTCAAAATGTGTACCTCAAGCGAAAAGTTTCAAATAAGGTCAAATATTTAAATATGTTTTTTGTTCAATTTTATTTTATTACACACAACCAGAGATAATAGGAGATGTAACTACTAACAAATACCGTGCGGTCCTGAATAAGACACATTCTAAGGGACACAGGAAGGTATAATGTCCGCTGTTGTCACATGCCTATTTCATTATTCGCGTTTTGTTTACAAAATTATTTACATATATTAAAAAAGCTAAAATAATTCAACCTATTTTATTGCAACTGAACCCAAAAAATTTTGAATCATTAGTTATATCAAATTTAACTAAATTAAATGTAATTTCACTAAATTAGATATAATAATTTTCAATAAATACCAAAACCTGGTCAGGTTAATTTGGAAGTGGCAACAGGGCATGGATATCTACGTTGTTTATTATAAGCGTACAGCGGCTTACACATTTGAAGGGTACAGGGGAAAAAATATGAATGTCACAAAAATGAGTTTCTGAGAAAGTAGGATTTTAAAATTTGAAGACTTTTACAATGCTTGTCTGGAAATATATTTGGCTCAAATATTTTTTTCTCAATATCTGGTAGTATAGATTACTTTGTTACCAATTATCAGGGCCGACTAGAGGGGGGGCAGCCGGGACCAATTCCCGTGGCGCGTACTCAAATGGGGGCTCGGCAGCGGTATAAGGGGGACCGGTAGCGGTGGTGAGAATTTTTTTATTACGACACAAGTTCTTGGTGGAAGACCTTTTTTTGTTTTTTTTATTTTAAGAAAAATCCAAGTAGAGGAGGAGAAATTTTTACTTGAAGACCTTTTTTTTTGTAAAATTGTCGCGGGGCCCGATCTGGAGAATTGTCCTGGGGCCCGGTCTGGCTCTCGACGGCCCTGCCAATTATGGAGTGCACAGGTTTATTTTTGTAGCTGGAAAAAAATATTTGGAGTTATACGACATAGGTTCGAGTGGGGAAATGTAGTAATTTATCATAAACTATGTGTTAGTAATTGCATTATTTATTGAAACAAAAGAGCATACAACTTTAATTTTGGTTATATAAAAGTAGTACCAACGAAAATAGTAAACAAATTCTCATACAAAAAATATACAGGGCGTTTTATATATAGTAGTACAAAAAATCAACAAAAAATTCTTAAGATTAGTAAACAAATAATCTAAAGTAAGTACCTTTATATTAAAACTAAGGCACATAATGGTAAATTTCGGTAGAACATTAAAATATTAGGCAATGTTATAGAATAATAAAAAACATACAGCGAACGTCAAAAAGTTAACTTGAGTATTGTAAATTATAACCTTTAACATAAATTAAGCGTCTTCTTTTTCGGTAGTGTGGTTATAAGGTAAGTTTTCAAAGAACTTACATGCATTGGGCTCACAAAATCTTTTAATAAGGATAAATTTCTGACCTTAGTAGAATTTTATATAAATAAAAATTTCCTAGGTATAATCGGTCATTCTTTTTATTTTCAAATGTTTAGCACTACATATGTTTCGGAAATTTATTTTTCCATCTTCGGGTGCAAATTTTTTTGAAAATTCATTGCTATTGCCTCTTTTTCTGTACTTTTTTGAAATTTTAAACGAGCTGCTCTCTTTCTTTCGTAAAACGTTTCCGCTTTTAGAAGATGCAATTTATGTTCTGTTTCCAAACAAGATAAAAGCGCTTTTTGTGAAGGATCGTTTTCGATGCTCATTTTCTTGGCCTTGTGCTTATCACAGGCATTGCAGGTATCCGTTCGTGGATAGCCAAAACTTATGTTGAATTTGGTTACAAATATAGTTCTGTAAGTCTCGTAGAAAACCTTCTTCTCAGGATTTTGTTGCAAAAACATCTTGAACGTCTTTTTCACGTTAAGATCTTCCGGTAAATATACACGTTGGGAGTCATGAAGACTGTAATGTGATTTTCGGCCTTTAAACGAAGCAATATGGTCAAAAACGGCACTGGATATTTCATCTGGGAGACGATTTTTTCGATTGGAATATTGACCTCGCCCATCGTGTTTAACATGTCCAAAAGTGGTTAACTGCTGCTGGATATTCTGAAGCCGTTTCGCAGATATTCCATGCATAGAATGCATAGCTTTATAACATATTGGCACTTCTATAGCTGTATTATCTCGTTGAACACGAATTTTGTATGTGTACGAATATGAGTGATATTCAACATCTTCATCATTATTCTTTCTTCGGTGTCGTTTAACGGGGGCATGTGAAATTTAGCCACCCAGATACAAATTTTGTTCATCATGATCTTTAAGTTCATTAAACTGTTTAATTATTTGCAACCTCTCTCCTTCGGTGACATTTTCAAAACACTTAAATCTAGTACAATTACAACTTGGGCCTGTTTCATGGCTTCGTAGTTTTAATAACTTATCAAGGTTCTTCATACGTCCATGAGATTTCCGTTTCTTAGACCTTAGAGGAAAAACTGCTCTATCAACTTCAATGTCTTCGTCACTCATTGCGAAATATTTCGATTGCACGTGGCACGAAAAAAAAACAGCATACAGCAGGTGGTCGATTAAACGGCACATGAACTACTGAAATAGTAAAGTAGCGCGTAATAAAATGGGAAAAAGCATCTAGAGAAAAACAAAACAATGCGCGATTGCCATATTTATGGACATTCATCTTTTTTCCCTAGTTCGCCGGGACATTTATCTTTTTTCCACTGTGCGGTAAAATTTAGATTCGCTGTGGCTTGCTACTCTCATAAAGTTTGATTGGTTTTAATATTTTATCGGATTCTTACAGCATTTTAGCATAATATTCCCGCCATTAGCTTAATTTGGAATTTTTGGACATTCATCTTGTTTCCCCTGTATCCTTCATTTATTCATTGATAAAAAAAAATTTTATCTGCGTAAAATCCTTTTCTTTATCCCCTCTCTTACTTCCTATCTTTCGTCTCCTCGCCGCGGACCTGCAAACAGAGCGTATTGATTGTCGAATTTATCTTGACATCGTGAATATTATATTTTATCAATGAATGGTTATATCACTGTTATCTCTGCATATAACATACATTTTATACCTTAGATAAAAGGTTAACTGCTTTCATGCATAAATATACCTATGCTTAATTTCTACAGATTGTTTTCTATTTCATACGTTATAGTTAATTATTCTATTTATTTTTTACCAGTAGTTCAAGGATTTAATAATCTTAATCTTTTTTTCCTGACGATAAGTACAACTTATTTATAATTTGTCTCATTTTGGTGTAAGGTTTTAATTAATATTTTATAAAAGTGTTTCAAACTTAAATAAAAATATTCCTAATTCTAACACATCTAACAGTATTCTTTAATCACGAACAAAAAAAAAATATATTAAATTTATTAAAGTTTAAAACAAACCTAATATTATTATATTGTAGGTCATATATGTTCGTGACATTCGTAGAATAACTATTACATAATGTATAAAATAATTAAAATATCAATTACCGAAAAAAATATAATTTACTTTCGTTTATTTAATTATGTGAAACATTATACTATAATACTAATGATTATAGAGAAGAATATCAAAAAAATTAAACCAAATTAAGTTTAAAGATATACTTAGAGAGTAAACAAAAAAAAGATACGAAAGATGAAATTCATAACGTGTTTGGGTTTGGTTTGACTTTCATCGTAATCATGTACTACCAAAAGGTGCCTGATTTTAGAGTTAAGGTATGATTACCAAAGAAAAAAAATTGTTTTTATTATGGTGTCTTAGAAAAGTAATATTCCTAAACGCTTGTGTGTTAAAAGGTCTTTAAGTTAGTAGTGTAAATATATTTTCAATAATACTTAGCTACTTTTTTGAATATTTCGCTAAAATTGATGTTGTATTTTTCAGTATCTCACGAAACAGACAGTTGCTCTACGAGAAGTCAACGATTCCAGATTTCGGATCTACGAACAACTCGAAGTTAGCATCCACGACTTGGAAAGAGCGAACCATAGACTAGTACTCGAAAATGCTGCCGAGAAGAAGATAATAAAAGTAAGAATCTAACACGCAAACAGAACCAGTAGTAGAATCCACAAAAAATGTTTCTAAAGTAGGACATGACAGACAATAGCAGAGATAGGAGTCACGTCCGTGATAACCTTATACGCAGTTTGATTGAATGTAAACTGTCATTAAAAAAAAAAGAAATGAACGGTCAAACAAACGTGATTTTTCTATAGTATGCTTTATAAACTTTTTTAAAGATTACTCTATATTGAGCACTTTTTAAAGAAAAAATATGTCCTGAGTAAAATTAAAAAGTTACTTTTCTATTCTTTTATTATGTCATATTCATAAGTTTGTAGAAAAAAGAAACTTCCACTATATAATATGACAAAAATAATGTGTAATCAGTAATTTGTAACGTGTGGAGGGTGGGTTAATCTACGCTATTTAGGCTTTACTAGGCGCATTGTGCATCCTCATAATTAGATAGGCATTATTTTGGGAAAGGTCGTCTTATCAAAAGCACCTTCTATGTCTATGAAAACACCCAAGGCGGACTCATTATTGTCCACGGATCTCTCTGTACGGCCAGCAACTAGGCGAAGGGCTAAAGCAGTAAAAATGCCTGGGGTGTATGCTAATTGATTTAGGTGTAGTGGCGTTGTTGTAATCACCAAATATTTTATGTATCAATGTCTTCACGGAAAACCATGTCAGGCTAATTGGTCGACATTTTTTTGGGATAGTGTAATTAATCCTTCCAGGTTTGGGTATAAAGACTACTTTTACCTCTCTCCATTTTGGAAAGAAGCTAAATATTACCTATCTAATTTTGTCATCATCTACAATGTGTTTGGCAGTTTGCCAGTCGAAGACAAATGGGTTGTATTCTTCCTTTGTCCAGTCGGACACGTCTGTAATGACCTAGTCAGGGAAGTGTATCCCTCTGTTTTTGTCTAACGATTTTTTTGTAATCTCCGAGGTGAGATTTGTAAACATCCTAGTGCCTCTTTGAGTTTTGTTGTCCTTGCCTTATTGAAAGATTTCCTAGTCATCTTACTGAAGTGATCCACCACCTAGCGGTGTTGGACCTCAGGGGACATTGTTTATTGAGCTTTGTTGTTTGGTATGTCGGACTCCACCTCTCTCAGAGCCTCTTGGAGAAAGTGAGCATAAGTTGCCGTGTCCTTCTTCCTAAGGTTTCGTGGAGGTCGGCAACATCAAGTTTATTTTGAATGTTAAATAATGTGTATCTCTGAAAACAATACAATGAGAGCATACAATTAATCCATAGAAACATGTGAATTAAATTTAAGAATTGCTAATGAAATAATTCATAAGTTAGTCCCATTTTTTACAATTTTGAACATTTAAATCTAAAAAAGAGGAATTATGATAAATTACTAAAATGGGGGTGAAAAATAGTATTAAATTAAAATTAGGGATGGTTTATAAGGGATGATATGAGAAGGAGTTGATTTGTGTTCAAGCGGTAAAAGTTTGTTTTCATCCCATTATCAGCAGTTTTTTTTTTAAATTAATGTTATCAAATAATTCTGGTATTCATTGGCAAGAAATTTATGGCACACCCGGTGTATTAAAAAAAAAGTATTTCAAAATTAATCACAGAGTGATTTGTTTTTGTTAGCCTCACTGACGTCACACTAATCTTTACACAATCGTTAAAAACTAATAATGTTTATACTTACATTTATGTAAGTTTAACTGAATACGAATAGAATTAGCAAAAAAATTAAATAAATAAACAAAAATAATCATTATACATATTTTTTTTTTTTAGAATTTAAATGTAACTATAGACGGTCTTGAAACAAAAGTTGAAGAACTGCAATCGACCATTGACGATTTAACGATGCAATTGGATTTGCTTAAGAGAAAATCGCAGAGAACTTTTGAAGTTTCGACCCCATCTAACTACAAGGAATTGGTTGTTAGTCCAGATTCTTCTGCAATTATTGACGAGGTAAGAGAAATTCTAATAAATCAATAAGCTAAGTTTAAGGTGCAGTTAAACATGACCGTTTGGATGGGTGACCAAACTCGTAGAGCTCAAAATCAGGAAGTTGAAACGGAAATCCAGGAGTCGCGAGCTCGAGTCTCGCCCAGAGCAAAATTTTTATTAATTTTTCGATCTTTCTAGTATTTGTTTCGGCAATTTAAACCGACAAAATGTTCTTGATAAACCTTCAGTTTATTGCTCATTTTCCAATAATTATATGCCTTACTTTTTTATAGATTACTACTCGTATAACTAGCGAACTTTGATTTAGCTTTTTGACTGAAAATCTTAAGACCTTACCAATATGAAATGAATGATTTTTATTCTTTTCGTGAGTATTAGAGGTTTCACATTAGTTTCCTGTTGCTGTTTGAAGTAGGACAAAACCGGTCGTAGAATGACAAGATCCTTTAAATCTAAATAAAAAGAAATTTTCTAAGAAATATAGCTCTGGTTATGTGGTTATTATCATGGCACTTGTGCGAAACAAAATGATTTATAAGCTTGTCATTTTTTTATGCACACTTATAACTGTGTATTATTATATTTTGGTGCAAAGAAAGCATACATATTATTACAAAACAATTAACCCAAAATATCCATACAGAAAAACTAAATAAAAATTAAAAATGAATTAATATTTCATTAAAATTTTATTTACGTGCTTATTATAAATAGTTTTTATCAATATTTACATAACCTTCTTTAAAATAGCTACAGTAATTTGTGCAAAAAAGTGGATATGATGACCATATCGCACGAAAACGATGTTTGAATACGACGCTGTAGGCGGTGTGCTCAATCATCTGAGTGCTAAACGGACAATCGACTCGAGTTGTTTTATTTTTTCTACAACCTACTTAATAGAAACTATAAAGTTTTCATGGCTCCTGTTATCTTGAGACGTGCCGTTCATTGAATTTGTTGACCTAACTATACCTACCTAACTATACAGTATGTTAACATAGGTCTTATTATAGCCGTGATTTGACAACCATGGACTTGACACGAAAAAGACAAAACATTTAAAGCACTCTTACCAATTCGATACTTTTCTTGGATCAGAACATATTTCCTACTTGGTCAGTACGTTTATTCAAGCCACTGGCGCTGATGACCATTTTATGAGACGCTAATTTTAATTTAATTGTGTATAAAAATGTTAAAATAAATAAATGAAATGTGGGTGTAGAAAATCATAGTTTACGCAATAAGTGCTCAAAGCGATACTTTTCCCACAAGCGCAGAAGTTTGTGCCATGAGGAAAGTACCACAAATTAATCGATGCCCTGATGTGATATAACACATTCCTAAATAATATCTATATAAAAAAGAATTTTTTACCAACATTTCTTTTTCTTCAGGAATGCAACGTAAAAAGAATCGAACTTCAATATCCATCTTCAACCGAACCGAAATCATCCTCCGAATCGAAAGCCGACGTAACGCCCCAAACGATCGACGAATTGGACGCAGAAGGCGATATGGAACAAGTCACGCAACTCCTTTCGCAGCTCAGCAAAATGAGGTCGCAGTGCACTAGAGACGAAAGGAGGATAACGGAATTGGAAGAACAACTATCAACGCTGGTGCAGCAAAATCAATCACTCGAAAATCAAGTCATCCAGCTATCGCATAAAGGAGATGATCTGAACATGAAGAGCATGCATGAGGAACTTACGTCTTTAGAGGAAGTTAGGTAAATACCCCTTTAATAATATTTAGCTGGTTAATTCTGTCAATAATAACGTTTTTTATTTAAAAAGCTACAATTCTCCAATTATAATCCTCATTTTAGAAATGGGCCAAAAATGTTATGTCTCATTTAGTTAGTTAGAATTTGATACATTATCATTTTTGAATACCGGTAAAATTGTATCAATTCAGTCACTTGGAATTTAGAATTGTTAAATTTTCAGTCAAAATTATAAAACGTTGATCCGTGGCAGGTACGTATCAAACTAAACGATTCATCAGGATCTCAATATTCAATTCGAGAAACGCCAAATACATGAACAGAATCACAAACCAAATGAACCAAAATAAAACTGGTGTGAATTAGTTTGACTTTCTTGTCAATGTCGAAAAATGACTCTCACGCACATCAATTTTAGAGGCAACAACAGATGTTGGTATTCAAAAGCCAGTTTTTAATATTGGAAGGATTTCTTTTTTGTTTTCATTGGTATTCTGTGCAGGTTATACTCCATAGTGTAGGAGTACTGGTACTCTATTTTTGGAATGTACACCTCAAGATCTATAAAATGATGAAAAAAACTTTTTAATTTTTGACCGTCTTTGTCAAACATGAGAAAAGGACCTGTCGATATCTTATGATTTTCTTTAAATTTCCATATCTACGCTATTCTTGAAGTTTGCTTAAGAAACCCGTACCTACAAAATGGTATATTACACGATATTGAGCGATTAAAACTAATCGAGATACGAATTAGTATGCACGATGTATTCATGGTTGCACTATTAGTAAGTGTGGAATGGGATTTTGGCTCCAATTTGTGTTACTTGTACTACAGAATCCAATAACTTTAAAATTAAATATTTAAGCAACAGTCTGAGCTAGGAATATGTGATTTTTTTTCATTACACTTTTCTAGTTGATCTCTACAAAATCGTATATATAAATATACAGGGTGTTCCTAAACATCGTACACATACAGAAGGGGTTAATTCTTTGGCTTATTTCATTACAAAAAGTTCATAGAAACATAGGTCCGCAAACGCTTCGTTACCAATCTACAGGGTGTTGAAATTTCAAGATTTTTTTTGTTTAAAAACTCTTTTCGTTTCTGCGACTGTTATCGAGAAAAAAATTAAAAACGATTTTCTGTAGAAATTATATATTTTACAATACAAGAAACCTAAATAATAACTATTAAACTACATTACAACAAATGTTGAAAGTGACCCCCTCCTACAATTATACATCCTATCCATTTGTTCTCATAAACTTCATTTAAGTACTTCTAAGACAAAATAGAAAAATATGCTGGGATGCCATCGTGCACACATCTGATTTAATTTCTCAACAAAAGAGGCAAGAGTTCGAGTAAAAAAGGCGATTCCCACAGTTCCTGCAGTTTTTTAAATATTAATTTAAAATTTGGAATCTACATACATACATCGTTGTAGGGCTTCACAATTCACGTATCCTCCTATCCCATTGAACTTTTTTGCAGGTAGATTTGCTGGTAGATTCTAAAATACAAAATTAATTTTTAGTTTTATTTAGAAGCTTTTTTTACTTATTGCGACTTAAGTATTAAAGGTTTGTGTTGTAAATTGTAAGGTGTAAAATTGTAGGTGTCTACGGCGCGGCATTAATTTTCGAGCCAATTTTCTGGTAAAACGAGACACGGTTTCGAATCCTACGGAATACCATGTGTATTTATTTGCATGGTTCTCTACAGGAGTTGATGGATGCCGTATTAGCAGAAATTTAATTTCTGTTGATATGACATCCAGATTATTAAAAATCGCCATGCGTTACCGTTTTCGATGATGATGGATGAGGTTTTCCGGATTTTCCTCACCAGTAAGTCAAATGGCACCATCAATCATCTTTAAGTCGCCCCGGAGCGCCACGGCAAATAATAATAATAGTCGTCTCTTTCCCCGAACAAGCTCAGCTTGTGGGGTTAAAATTCACTCGTAAGGGAGTGAATTAGGGAGAGTAGTATTATTATTATTATTATAAGGGTAGGAAGGGGTCACTTTCAACATATGGTGTAATGTAGTTTAAAAGTTATTATTTAGGTTTTTTGTATTGTAAAATAAATTATTGCTACGAAAAATCGTTTTTAATTTTTTTCTCGATAACGGTCGCAGAAACGAAAAGAATTTCTAAGCAAAACAGAACATTTATTTTGTATTTTAGAATCTACCAGCGGCGCACAGCAAAATAGTACAGGGGGAGGAAAGGGAACATGACTCCTGAAAAAATATTACCCTGTAGATTCAACAACCATCGACATATCCAATAATGTATGTCCTATAACGCAATTTAGATTTCAAATTTGAGCTAAATATCTCAAAAACTGCAGGAGCTCTAAAGAAAAACAAGAAAAATCTTGAAATTTCAACACCCTGTAGATCGGTAACGAAGCGTTTGCGGACCTATGTTTATATGAGCTTTTAGTCATGAAATAAGCCAAGCTCCTTCCGTATGTGCAGGATGTTTAGCTCAAAATTTAGAAAATCGATGAGACTTCAAATTGTTAGAGAGAGAAAGGTATCCACGCTCACCAAATACCAAATTTCTTTGGGTATTGATTGACCCCCTATTTGAACCCGCAAGTGGTTTGATGTGTTCACATGACCTGTAAATTAAAAAAAAAATTTAAATTTCATTTTTTTAAATTTTAATTTTTTTTTTATTTTTTAATGTAGTCATATAACCTGTAAATTTTTAACATCTTTGCGCAATTTAAAATTTATCAATTTTTTTCAAATTTCATTTTTTTTTAATAATTAATTTTTCAAATTTTTATTATTTTTAATTTTTTAATTTCAAACTTTTAAAATTTTTAAATTTCAATTTTTTTTGTTTCTTCATTATTTTAGCAAATTAGACATCTATCAAAACTGTATAATATAACCTGTAATTTAAAATTTTTAAAATTCGGTTGGTCGCATTGAATTTTTCTCTAAGGGCCCTACAAAATGGTATATATAAATATTGCGATATATCAGATTTTGGAAAATCGAAAAGTGGTTTTCAAAAATTTTTAAATAGGTAATTTGGAGGTGCTACCGAGTTTTATAAGATGACATGAAAATCAGGTATTATAATGTCCAATGTTTTGAAACTGCATTTTAATATTTCTAACAAAATAGATTCTAAAAAACAATATTATTTTACAGACAAGGACTGATGTGTAGCAGATGTCTAAGAAGCGTTGTCCAAAACGATGACGAAATTCCAGAACATGACGATTCTAGTATACTAGATGACCCTATGGAACTTCAATTCCATTCATCTTTTTCCATGGACGTACAGGTGAGAGACGATAGAGAAAATATGCTTGTCAGGCACCTCGGCTTTCTGAGTCTTAGGCCATGCTTCTTCTGAAAAGCGTTTTAAGGGATTGTTCAATTTAATATAAAAATGACATTTTTTGATAAATTATTTATTGTATTATATAGCGATAAGTTTTTAAACTGGAAATATACTTAAACCTCTTCTGATAATTTCAGTGATAGTCCAATTTTAATATTTTTGGTATCTTAATTTTTGATATTTTAATATTAAAAAACCATAAGGATGTCAAATTTATTTTCCTAATAATTGTACCTATTCTTATCTTTAAGAACGGCGAGTTTAAAAAAATCCTGATTTCACATAAATTGTATTTTCCAAGGGGATGGTGAGAAGTAAAAGGATTAAATTGTCATTTATTTCAATGATACTTGGGAAAACTTATATTTTCTAAGTTTCCATTACCTTCGAAGCATCAAAACGTTCGAACTACATTTCAATGTAATGGTAATTCATATTAAAATACGTCAAATTACTGTTTTCTAGATATTTATATCAATTTATTAAATAATAAGTTTTTATATTTGATAGAATAGGTTTAAGAAAATTTAATAAATATTAATTCAATTACCTTGAGCTCTTAAAACGCATTTTAAGAAGTCACTGTGCTGTGGTGGTTTGGGATTTTCTTGTGAATGCTCTCTATTGCTCTGTTGCACTGTGGATATGGACAAAATGTTTTTTTTTTCGTTCTTTCTTTCTTTTTGTTTTGCATGAGCACAAATATTCTTTTTTTATGTTCTGTGTTTGTGGCTGTGAAGTGTTTAAAAATATAACTTGGTATAGTGATTTTTCTTTATTTTGAGTAAATAAACTTGAGGCTGATTAATGAAGACTGAATTATTCAAATGAAAAATAGGTTTATTATTTTAAGCTACTTACATAAAGACACTGTACAACTGTAACAGATTGGGATCGGCACGAGATTTTTTAATATAAAATCTTTTAAGAACTGAATTATATGTCAAAATTTATCATATACGGGGTATGTCAAAAAATATAAAGGATTATGAAGAAATGGTCTCCTGAATTTTAGGTATGTTGCAGAGTTGTCGACTTCCTAAAAAATACAGGGTGTCTACAAAGTAACATAGTTTAATGGCTTATAACTCAAGAATGAAAAATGAACCATATTCGCTATATTTCTTACATTTGCTTTAAGTTTTTCTTGACATAGTTGTAGTCTAGAAGACAGTGGGAGATTGACCTTCACCCATCTGATAACCAGATGAGGTATATTTTTTATAAAATCTTATTGAATTATTAACACGCTTATTTGAACTTGTCATTCGAAAAGTCTTCATGGGTAGTTTTAATTAAATAAATTTTAATCGTTTTTTTTTATAACCTTCACTTGCCATGATTTAAAGTTTTTAAATCGGAGCAATTAAATATGTGCGAGAGAGAAAGTAACACGTGCCAAATCCGTGTGATAGAACAGGACACAACATAGCAGCTGCGCGCGACATGTCCGTTGAATGTAACCCAATGCGCATGCTCTTTTACAAGCGATAGACGGACAGAGCTTATTTGTTGTTTTTATGTGTAGGCTTTGTTACTGTTTTCTAGCGCCACTTTATTAACAGCACTGTTAATTAATTAATTAGAACCCAAAGTTAAGTAAAAAAATGTTGCTATAATAATGAAAAAAAAAAAATAAATGTAGAAAACTAATATTCAATACATTTATGGTATGAAAAGCGTTTATTACAAAGCAAATGGAGTACATAGAAAAATAATATTATAAAATTCGTAATTGAAGACACAAGTGGATAAAGGGCCTATGTAACATTTTTTTTAAATGGTGTTTTTCTGTGAATGAAGGGGGCTTATGTACCTAAAATTCGTTTAAAAATGACTTCCGTGACAATATTTCAGCAAATATAGAAGTTGCCAGTTGATAAAGGACCCATGTACTAGGGAATAACTGCCAAACAATAAACTTTAACACGAAATATCTTGTAAAAATTATTTTGCTATATAGGCCCTTTATCTACTTGTGTCTTTAATTATTATTCAAAATCTGCATCATCTGAAGCTACATTAAGATCTTCAGACTCTGATAATGTCGGGGCGCAATTTTATACAAATTTATAGACAAAACATTTCTTTTTACTTCATGATTTTTTAAAAATTTTCAAATTCTTCTTTATATTTATTACTTAAAATTGTAACTTTATTATAACACTTGGAGTGATAACCAACAAAATCTAGCGATTGTTTGGTTAGTTGGATACTTCCATATTTAAAGTTTTGCTTTTTACGGAAAGCCAATTTTTAGGAAATGAATTGTCATCAAAATCAAGAAGAGATTTTTTTTGAACCACATGAAAACACGTTTTACTATTTTTTTTTTATTTCCCAATTACAAATAATACTCATCACAAAATAATTTTCAACAACAAAAACAAAAACAACAACAACAACAACAACAAATAAGCATGTAAAAGAGCATACGAATTGGGTTACATTCAATGGATATGTCGCGCGCAGCTGCTATGTTGTGTCCTGTTTTATCACACGGATTTCGCATGTTTTACTTTCTTTCTCGCACATATTTAATTGCTCCGATTTTAAAACTTTAAAGCATGGCATTCGTATTCCATAAACAGTTTTTTGCAGGCAAGCATATACGATTATTTTCGTAATTAAATTATCTCTCTTCTGATATCAGTTTTTATTGGTTGACATATCGGTGTAATTACCTATATTGACTTACCTGTTTATACCTGCTTACCAGGTAGCCATGAACAGAATTAAGTAAACAAGCCTACCGAAGCATATTCTCCATGCTAAAAACTAACTGTAAAAATTAAATTTGTTCGGTTATTAAAAAAGTGAAGGTTATAAAAAAAATATGTCTCATCTGATTATCAGATGAATGAAGGTCAATCTCCCACGGTCTCCTCTACTATTGCCGAATGTGTGTTTTTTCGGAAATACCTTAAAAGAAATGGCATTTCTAAAGCAAACAGTATGTACAGTGTTTTAGACTACTTTTCAGTTTTTGTGTTTTGTTTCTCAGGACAATCGCCTGGAGGAAATTCTCCGAAAGGACTTGTCCATATTATGGATCTCCCCCACCATGAACCTCGTTACTCTGTTATTCGACTTGTGCCTTTACTTGAAGGACTCCTACCTAGTACCTCTTCTTTCCAAACCACTGAAAATCCCTTTTATCCTCTTCCATTATTGCCTGAAGCATAAGTTACAGTAGAGTAGAGAAGGTATGTGATATGATAAGTAGTCCTCTTAACACAATTGTGTAATGGTAAAACTTTGGGACGCTTCAGTCTGATAATTGATAAATATCAACAAATATAAATCTAAAGTAGACAAGTACAACTATAGATACCCCTAATATAAATAACATATTTAACAAAAAAAATTAAATGAATAAAAATAACAATGTATTTCAGTCTAAGTAAGATGTTCCTCCATTTTGTATAAAAACCGGTAAATTTACAAATATTCTTCTCATTTCTCACGCTAGATGGAATTTTTTTGTATATCTTACAAATATATATTTGTCCTCGCCATATATATTAGCTCCAATTACTTATTTTCTTCCATCCTTTATACCCTTTCAGGTGTCTTAAGTTTTACGTATCTTTTAATCAATTTTTCCTATTTAATGCCATTCTCATTTCATTCACTAGTTTGCCCTTGGTTCGTCCTATTTTAAAATGAATCCTTCCATGTTTTTCTTTTTGCCTATTTTTATTTTGCCTCTAACCGTTACAATCTATCGTCTTCCATTCTGATATATCCGTACCATTTTAGTTGTTAATTTTGTTTCCTTCTTATTATTAGAATTTGGTCTAATACTTTTTTAATGTTTTCATTTCTATATCTGTCCCTTTTGGTTTTCCCCCACTATTTTTCTTATTTATTTAATTTACTAATTTCATAATAGATCATCGACAATATTGAATAGGTTATTAAATACTCCAAGATACTTTAACTTTTTAGCCAAAATATAAATGTGTAAACATTCCACCTAAAACGACCATTGTTATTCTTAAACTAGAAATAACAGGAATTCTACACGTAGTAAAAACATATAATGAAAAATATAATCGTAGACAAGGAACAAGATTATACTCAGAACGAATTCTGAACGCCATATTATATTGTTAAAATTTCACACTTTTACAGCTTCTATAGCAAAATCTGTCTACTCTGTCATCATCGGAAACTAGTCACACCATCATTCAGTTTAACAACAACAAAATTATTTTTTTTAAATATATAATGCTTGGGATTCTATATTATACTCTTCACGGTTTAACAGACCCCCCTTAATCCCCTCGATGGCCTAGAAGCAATAAAACTAAGTGCATCTATAAAAATTTGTGGTATGAAGAAAAACCTTTTATTAATCAACTATGTCAAAAAGTTATATACAACATTATGACATTTTTATTGTCTTGACCCTTGAATCCTTTTTTCATTTTTTCATTTTTTCATTTTTTTCAAATTTTTTACATATGAGGTATTGCTTCTAGGCCATCGCCCTATTTTTAATCAGATTTTTTCAGACTCAATAGGCTTCATTCCCCTATAGAGTTTGATTTTCCTGAAGATTTCAAGTTCATATTGTACTTCGCTTCTGAGTTTTTTAATATTTCAACCCCCCTTAAACCCCCTATTTTTATTCAGATTTTTTTTATCAATAGGCTTCATGAGCGTCGTTTATCAGGGACAATGAGGGGCAAGTTCTCCCCCTAAATCCTGATAGTAATGTTTAAAATAATTAGAAAAAAATATTTCCTTTTTTGTATGTATTTTTGTAATTTTTAAATAAAAACTCAATCTGGGGTGGGTCGAATTTTCCAAAAAATTAAAAATAAATCTATTTCTTTCTTCTCTTCTCTTCTCTTCATTTTTTATCTCTATGTTCCTTGTAAAGGGTGTCCAAATTTGACAAAAAGTCCTTGAAATAATATAATATTGAATTATTTTAAAGTTTAAATGTCACGGTTAATAACGAAAAATGATATCCGGCTTGTGATCCCTCTGCTGCTTTAGCATGCTAACATTATTTTTACAAAATTTTCAAGAACATTTTCGCAAACATTCTCTTCAGTTTTTTTAATAATGTTTACTCGAAGCTGTTGAAGTGTTTGAGGGTTATTAGTATAAACTTTTTCCTTCAAAATGCCCCACAAGAAATAATCCAATGGTGTAAGGTCGCACGATCTAGGTGGACAATTAACCTCAGCTCTTCGAGAAATTATTCGATTGCCAAATCTATCCCTTAAAAGATTTAGTGTTTTATCCGATATGTGGCAAGTGGCACCGTCTTGGTGGAACCACATGTTCTGGACATCCATATCTTCTAATTCGTTTCACAAATAATCTCATAATCATTGTCCTGTATTGTGCTTCATTCCAGTTATCGAATCACCAGCTTCATTCTGGAAAAAATAAGGACCAATAACGCCACTAGACCAAATACCATACCACACAGTCACATTTACTGGATACAGTCGTTTTTACAATATTTCTCTTGGATTTTCTTTACCCCATATTCTGCTGTTGAAATCTCTTCATAAAACTCTCAATAACTTTAACAGATATTACTAAATTTCTTCTCAAATGCGTAAGGCATCTTCTTGCAAGTTTCAGCAAAACATTCCCCATTTTGGTAGTAAGTTTTTACGGGGTTTTCGATAGACAGATGTTTCATGTTGACCAAAAAACAACTATCCGCAAAATTTTCAAACCATCTTGATTTTATCTAAATTATATTTTTTTTCAAAACTTTTTTCACCCCATTATTGCTAATAATGTCAATTTTAAAAATAATAATAAGAAAGATATTTCTGATTTTTATTACCTTAATTTTCAAGTTCAAAAAACTGGATTTTTTGCCCCTTCCTGGAAAATTATGTAACGACACCCATGATAGGCTTCATCCCCTTATAGAGTTTGATTTTTACCAAAAATTTCATATTGATATCGCTTTTCATTATTGATTTTTTTTAAATTCTAACCCGCTGTAATCCCCTACACCCCCATTTTTAATTAGATAGATTTTTTTTAAATCAATAGACTTCGTCCTTTTATAGAGCTTGATTTTTCCCGAAAATTTCAAGTTGATATCATTTTCTGATTTATTGATATCGTTTTGTATTTCTGAGCTAGATTTTTTTTAATATTTCAACCCCCCTTAACCCTCATTTTTTATTCAGATTTAATTTTTCAGGGTTAATATACTTAATTTCCTGTAGAGCTTGATTTTTTCTAAAGATTTCAAGTTGATATCGTTTCTGAGTTAGGATTTTTTTTAATGTTTCAACCTTCTTAACCCTCCATTTTTATTCAAATTTTTTCAGGATTAATAAGCTTCGTTTTCTTATAGAGCTTGACTTTTTACTAAAAATTCATGTTGATATCGCTATTCGCATTCTATTCTGATTTTTTTTTTAATTTCAAGCCCCCTTAACCCTCAATTTTTATTAATTTTTGTTTTCAAAATCTATAGGCTTCGTCTCCTATAATATACTCTTCATAAAATACTGTTTGGGTATATTAACCACCCTTTGATGCTTTCAGGGCCATCTTAGATGTTGGGGACTGGGGGGGGCTTGGAAACATAGAGTGTGGGGGCCCTTTTAGGAATAATAAAAAATTGAATGAAAACATATGAATGTACTTTTGTTTTGTGACTCTATTGGTTGCTATATTTAGCCAAAATTTCGCGTGCTGTCAGAGTGTCAGTAAAGTTTTTAAATAATCGAAAGTTTTTTATTGATTAATAATTATTATTGTTAATATGCATTTCTAAGGGACCATGAAATCCAAAAGTGACTTCTCTTGTAAATAAGTAAAATCTTAATTTTTCTATACCTATGAACTGTCAAATTATAACTTACTGTGCGGTGTGTGTACCTACAACTATTATAGGTAGCGCTAACGTAGATGATTGGTAAATGGCATTGTTTTGCATCTATTTTGTTAATTATTTTGTTTTTTAAAAAATGAATATAATTAGATTAAATATATGGGCACTAGGTTCCGGCATTTCGGGTCTCCTATCAGTCCAGAGACCTTGAACTTTTCCCCGTTTACTCTAATCGTGAAGATAGAAATATATAATGTTTTATTATGCATTTCCAAGTAATGCAGAATTGTTTTTCGCAAAACTAATAATACAATATACACACTGTATAAAAATGTTTAGCCTTAAAACATCAAACTCAGATAAGAATAAAATAATCTGTATTATTATTAAATTTAAATTTTCTTCTTCTAAATAAAAGTATAATAAACTGATTTACATGAATAATATAATGTGGTGTTTTGTAAATTTTATAATTTTTACTTAATAGCTCCCAATTTTTTACCATTACACACTTAAATAATAATATCAATTTTTGGTAGAGAGGAATTCATTCATAACTTAACTACATATAAAAAAAAAATAAAAGTTTAAAGATCTGTTAAACTTCTCAAAAAGCAGAGAATATTAGATTATTTATTTTTTTACGAAACAAAATGCAGCGAATGAGCGAAATAAGAAACAGTTCTTATTTCATTGACAGATCTTTATTTTTGACTTAAATTTTTATTCTGATAACTCAAGTGATAATAAAGTTAGATATTAGGGTATTCTGTTTATATAATATTTATTGTAAATATTTTTGAATTTAAAATATTAACTTCATACAATTCGGAAGCATTTCGAAAAGTTCATTTGTATGAGTTTAAAAATAATTTGTACATAATCGAAATATTTTCAACTTTTAAAAATGATTTTGGAAATTATAATGTTTTCTCATATGTTCAAGGTCCTGCAATGTATATTTTTATTTGAGTTTATTGAAAATATAAGTTTTTTTCATATTATTTTTCAAAAAAATATATTTTGTGGTCTGTCTTCCAATTTTTTAACGTCTGTTTCATTACTATACACTATACAGAGTCCGGCAAACCTACCTTTTCTACATTTTCAGAAACTCTAATGACGAAAAATATTTTAGATAGCAAATTACATCCCTCCCCTATTCCCTCAATTCGTCTAATCCATGACTTATGGGACACACTGTATACTAGGAATTAAAGAACTACAACAGCAGGAGTTTGTCAGACCCTGTATTCTAATAAGATCTTTTTATTTAATTTACATGAAATCATATTTAAAAGTTAAATAATATAAACAAAATAATGTTCAATAAAAACTTGTTCAAATAAAAAATAAATGCAAAATGT